GCATGAATACAACAAGATTCAATCGTTCCAATGACATTGTGGATTTATGCCAGTACATGACTGCTGTTTATAGTACATCTGAGGTTTAGATCAGATTTAATGTAAATTCTACTTAACTGTGCTATATGACTAAGTTTGGTGATGCATGTTATAATTTATATTTTAAACACTGAATATACAACGAACATGACAAAACCTTTCCAGATGATATTTTACTGTCTGTGTCCCAGCCAGGCTGACCCTTATCATAGAAAAAAGGCTTCCAGTGAGAGCGATGACCAACAGGATACACCTAATCACAGATATATGCACTATGAGTTACGTTTGTATTCTCTTTTCTAATGAAAAACAATGCAGTCTGAGAATATTCACAACTAGTCTCGCTTTAGCACAAAGGAAACATTATCTTGTGCAGTTAAATTGACATATAGGAAGGAATTTATTATAGTAAATTCATGGAGAGGGTTTATATGACTGTTTCCTAAACAGCTGCTTAAAGTGAATTCATCCACTCTCTGTGATGAGTGGGCAGCAACTTAAGTTATTTTTGTTGTTGAACTCATGCAACTCAAATAAAAGCTTCACACCATCTTTATAAAATGAATTATTGAATCTCCCACTGTTTAAAATTGTGCACATTTACTTGAAACCTTATTGTTATTTTGAATCTCCAGCCCCAGTAATAGCCACTCAGAGGATGATATTGGTAGGGAAAACAATCTGCTCCTTTTCCATTTGGGTCATGAGGATTCTTTTTAGTGGATTTATTTATTTTGTTTTGAATGGATTTGAAGTCATATAGTTAGCAGCTTGAATCTATATAGCACCTCATTGTGACAAAACATATCAAATACCAGTGCAGAAACAACAATTGTGTCACCACAGTTCTGGGAATAGCTTTAGTGACTATTTGATGCTGTTATTACTGCAAAGTTGGCAGAGAACGCACAATTCATTGTCTTGACACCCAGAGATAGCAGCTGTTTTCTGGGAAATCTATTGATAGCGTGGTGGATTTTTAAAAACCCCAGTAGACTGAGCCTGATTTTCAAAGTTGAGTATGCATTACTTGTATAAACAAACTGGATATTTAGTCAAACAAAAGGCAAGTTATATTTTTGCACGTCCTAGTTGTTTGCACATGCAAATTCCATACAACAAGGCCAGATTATGAGATGTGCATGCAATTACCACAACTAAGCATGTAAGTTAGGTGCACAAAAATGCAGTATCTAGTCACACATACCGTGTTGAAAAGTCAGGCCTTTAGCATCTAGAAAACTTTCTCCATCAAAGATGTAGCTCCATATGTGCCACACACTCACAATTCCTAGTAAAATTAGTACATTTTGGATGTGCAAAAGATACAAGATCTAGCACCAAAATGTTGGGCCTCAAATATTTGATAGTGCCCCTTTGATAACAGATGTGTATATCTTCAGTAGGTCATTATATGGGGTTTCTATTCATAAAGACTAAA